GGTGCTCAGAGGCCTGGACGTGATAAAGTTAATCACTTTCACTGCGTCATTCAAAACATCATGTAACTCAGGACTCATTGTCTTGCTGGCCAATTCCTCTCTGTGAATGATTCAGTGGGATTTACTTTCTTTAAATGGCCAATTAATCATTTCACTCTCCCTGGCATTGATGCAGCATGATCCGTGCACACATGATCACAGGATTTCCAATCCAGATTGTGCTCTGTGAAAAAGCTGTCAATAACGTGAAACACATCCTCACCTATAGTTCTCCCCATTAACTTCTTGCAGAACAGAATGTGCTCATTAATTTCCGAAATGTCTCTGTATCGCACAAACGCAATCAACTGGGCTTCCCTACTGACGTCAGTCGATTCGTCCAACTGCAGAGAAAATGGACCAGAATTATTATTAAATTTTTTCCCCAATTGATCAACAATATCAACGACCATGTCCTCTATCCTACGGCACACCGTGTTATTTGACAATGGTACAGTCTTCAGTGCATCAGCTACTGTCTTATCATTCGTAGTTTCTGTAAGAATAACAGCAGCATGCACTCCAGCGCGCAGAGCAAAGGGTCACGTGCACTTGGCGCGAGCAGAGGATCAAACGCTGAGCCAACCCGCAGGCGTGCAGAGGCCAGTAAAGTAAAAAAGTAGGCCTATAAATATAAAATAACTACAGATTTCACACCAGTGACCTCAGTAAATGTTTTCCTGTCTAATAACATTTTATTAAATTGAATTCATATTTTGTGGTAATATTACCCCCCCCAAAAAAAAAATCATCACATTTTTGAATATATATAATGTATTTGGGATGTTTTCAATGCATTGTTAACGCATTCAGACAATGCGATTACCGGTAATAATGATCTTAAAAAATGTATGTACTAAAATTACAAAAGGTTACCTTGAGTTAACGGATTAACTCTGACAGCCCTAATCTTTTGCCATTCTGTATCATTTCTGTAGGCCTCCTGTAGCTCAGTTGGTAGAGCATGGCACTTGCAACGCCAGGGTTGTGGCGTTGCAAGTGGGGGGCCAGTATGAAAAATGTATGCACTCACTAACTGTAAGTCGCTCTGGATAAGAGTGTCTGCTAAATGACTAAAAAAATGTTTAAAAAAATTCTGACTGTACATGTCTAGGAGTTGGAGCAAGTCATTAGAATTGTTGTCAACCAAATTACACAGGGTAAATGTTGACCAAATTTGTATGGAATATCTATTGAGGTTATTGAACAAAATCAAAGCTATTACTTTGATCTTATTACATGTATAGCTAGATCAATTCCAGTTGGAAACATGTTTCTTACAATCTCTGCTCCTGTGGCCCAATACAAAATAGACCCCTATTGCTAAGCAACTGCCCTCTTGAGTGAGGCTTGCCTTGCTCTGTCCCATGTGAGTGAAGGGTTGAGACTAGAATAGCACTGTTAATGAAAGTACACTGTGATCTTTATGAGGTAAACACCTAGACGCCTGAGGAAATATCATATGAGTGCAGTACAGTGGGTATACCCCTTTGCCATAATGTATGCTACACTTGAATTTCATATTGTGGTTTATTGGCCCTATTATGCAGCTGTGGAACAATGCTCTGAGATGAGATTATTGGCTGTTTACTTGAACCAAATCTGTATTTCACTAGTCAACTATCAGTGGAATGTTTAACAAACTCAGTAGGCCTGAGGCTATTCTTCTGCATTGTATGAACTTTGCGTTGGTGTTGTTAGCGCAACAGCATTCTACTTAGCCCGCAGCAAGAAATACCTGAAACACAACCGAACACAACAACAGAAAGACAGAGAGAGAGACAGGCCGAGAGAGACAGAGAGAGTAAGAGAGAGAGAGTGAGTATAGGGCCCAGTAATCACTTCCATCCACAGCTCCTGTCCTCCTTTGTTTCTCTACTTTCACTTCTCCACCTTTACTTAATCTGAGTGTGTATCCTGCAGTCAGGCACTCTATTTCCTCAGCTCCCCACTGCTAGGGGCTAGGGGGCCGGCTTTACATCGCTGCTTCATTTGGTAATTAACTGAATCCAATAATTTAAGGGCTTACAAATCTCATCATGAACCAAGAGGAAACAGCAGAAAACCCCAAGGACCATGTTTAAGATTTATAGTTTTAACCCCATATTGGCCAATTTTATTTTCTCTCTGTTATACACATACTGAAACAGAATGAAATGGCCTATACTACAGGAACACGTATACTGTACATATAAGAATATAATCAATATTTGATCATATCATATCTCCCTCCAGGTTCTGCAGACATAGAAGAGAACATCTGACCGTCCCAACAGCAGTCTAACCCTGAACCCCCACGCCCCCTTCCACTACCATTCCCACCTCCATCTCTCCCTCTCACTCACCATGGCTGAGCCCCCGGAACCAGTGCCCTTCCAGGGGCACCCAGTCTCAGCAGCCGCAGCAGCCCCCAGCCTGGGGGAGTCCACAGACGTGGAGTGTCCCATCTGCTACCAGGAGTACAACCAAAGCAGCAAGTGTCCTCGTATGCTGGAGTGCCTCCACGTCTTTTGCACCGAGTGCCTCCAGAGGATCCAGCTGTCCCCGTATCCAACTGACCCCTCGGACCCCCAGAGCCCTCCCAGTCCCGTAATCTCCTGCCCCCTCTGCCGCCACCCCACCACACTGGAGACAGGTGACCCCCTCACCCTGCCCTGCAACTCCCGCATCCTGGCCCAGCTGCCGCCCATGGCCTTCCGCATGCCCATATCGGTGGCCGCCCAACTGGCCACCATCACCCAGAGGGTTGTCCTCTCCCTGGAGGCCAGCAGGGATTCCCGCTTCATCATCCTGCCCACAGTGAGCCTCCGTGTGGAGCAGATGCACCCCAGCGATAGTCCCCACAGCGGAGGTGGAGGCGTGGTTGATGAGGTGGAGGTGCTGCAGCACCACAGGAGGACCCTGGTATGTGTGCAGCTGCTGGCCTTGGTCTTCTGGGTGTTGTTTGTTGTGACCTGCGTAGTGGCGTTAGTGTTCGGGCCAAGCTTCTTCTGCAACTGAGGGGAGGATAAGGAGTAATACTTTTACAGTGAGGGGAAAAAAGTATTTGATCCCCTGCTGATTTTGTAAGTTTGCCCACTGATAAAGACATGATCAGTCTATAATTTTAATGGTAGGTTTATTTGAACAGTGAGAGACAAAATAACAACAAAAAATTCCATAAAAACCCATTTTAAAATGTTATAAATTGATTTGCATTTTAATGAGGGAAATAAGTATTTGACCCCTCTGCAAAACATGACTTAGTACTTGGTGGCAAAACCCTTGTTGGCAATGACAGAGGTCAGACGTTTCTTGTAGTTGGCCACCAGGTTTGCACACATCTCAGGAGGGATTTTGTGCCACTCCTCTTTGCAGATCTTCTCCAAATCATTAAGGTTTCGAGTCTGACGTTTGGAGGCAGCTCCCTCCACAGATTTTCTATGGGATTAAGGTCTGGAGACTGGCTAGGCCACTCCAGGACCTTAATGTGCTTCTTCTTGAGCCACTCCTTTGTTGCCTTGGCCGTGTGTTTTGGGTCATTGTCATGCTGGAATACCCATCCACGACCCATTTTCAATGCCCTGGCTGAGGGAAGGAGGTTCTCATCCAAGATTTGACGGTACATGGCCCCGTCAATCGTCCCTTTGATGCGGTGAAGTTGTCCTGTCCCCTTAGCAGAAAAACACCCCCAAAGCATAATGTTTCCACCTCCATGTTTGACGGTGGGGATGGTGTTCTTGGGGTCATAGGCAGCATTCCTCCTCCTCCAAACACGGCGAGTTGAGTTGATGCCAAAGAGCTTGATTTTGGTCTCATCTGACCACAACACTTTCACCCAGTTCTCCTCTGAATCATTCAGATGTTCATTGGCAAACTTCAGACGGGCCTGTATATGTGCTTTCTTGAGCAGGGGGACCTTGCGGGCGCTGCAGGATTTCAGTCCTTCACGGCGTAGTGTGTTACCAATTGTTTTCTTGGTGACTATGGTCCCAGCTGCCTTGAGATCATTGACAAGATCCTCCCGTGTAGTTCTGGGCTGATTCCTCACAGTTCTCATGATCATTGCAACTCCACCTATATGAAAATACTTTTCCCCCTCACTGTACATGCATCCTTCCTTCCTTCTTTCCTTGATTCCTTCCTAAAGTAAGGAGGCGTGTATTGTTAAATATTTCAACATGGCCTCAATCCAGAATGTAGGCCTACCTTAAACGTTGACTTGAAACTGTAAATGACAAATATGCTTACAAGATAAAAGTTTATGTATACAGCCTCATAATCAGATTTAGTTGATGTAAGTAGCGCTGATGTTGTTCAGAAAATTCTGTATTCAGCTCTCAGTTTTTCTTCTAGTGGTGTAATATAAGCTGTTCTCAACTGTGAAGATTATGGAGTGTTTATTATTACATTGTACTACAGTCCTTGGCTATTTATTAAAAGCTTTTCTTATCTGTTTCATGTTTTGACTTCCACATGTGTGTGTTTAGCATAACGGTTGTCATCATGAAGATGAATTATGTTGTGGAATAGAACTCCTGGAATATTTCTACAGACCATTGGCTACAAACGGACGGGGGCACGTTGAGCGAAAACGTAAAAGGAGCATACACTACGTCATACGCCGCGTTGGCTTGCAAAAGTCGAGAGAAAAGTTTTAGACCCCCATTATGTTTTTGTTTGGGGAAAAGTTGTGGGTAGCGGATCTTGTGAATGTAGCGTGTGCATGCTTTTTAACCCCTTCGCCGTTGGGGAATTATATTTGTTTCTTTGGGAGATACAAACTAAGGAGATATGTGCAAGATATAAGTAGATGTTAAACTTTTTTGTTAGTTCTGGCCAGGGCATACTCACTGCTGGCTAGTGTTGTAAGAGCACTTCACCTCACCCCCCTTCTCCCGTTAGCCTAGCTAGTGTTAGCTAACTAGCTACCTTTCTCTTCCATAGTTTGTGTAGTACAACTGAAAAAAATTGTTGGCGAAATGGCGGAAACCAAAATAATATACCACATCGACGAGGAGGAGACGCCGTATTTGGTGAAGATTCCGATTCCTGCCGAAAATATCACTTTGTTAGATTTTAAACAGGTCTTGAACAAGCCCAACTACAAATTCTTCTTTAAGTCTATGGACCAGGATTTCGGGTGAGTGAGAGCCAGTGATGGATGATTGTGCGGGATAATAAAGCAGAAAACCAACCAAATGAGTCCAGCAGTAGTTCATTAGATACATTGTTGCAAAGTCTATTTCTCTTTCACTATACTCCCAAAGACACAAAGGGTGAACTGTTGCTACTCTTTAACGTTAGTTACAATAGCTAGCTAGTAACAATTTAACTAACTAATTGTTACAGTGCAAATCTCGCATGATCCAATGTTGCAAATGAAAAGTCTAATTCAGTAACTAGGTTTACAGATTTTCATGCCAATATTAAAAACATCTGCATAAAAACAACATGCGCATTTTCCCACCAGAGATGTTTCAATCAAATTGACTTGTTGTGGATAAAAGTCTGTGCTTGACGACATAGTGCATATAAAAATACCTTTAGCGGTTTAATTTAATAGTGTGCAATTCGGGGCATAACTGCATCTGCAGGAACGCCCCCTCGAGCATCCCATTGGTTCCTTCATGAACCCCCTCCCCCTGTTCAAAAGGGAAATAAAAGTATTATCAGAGTTTTTTTTCGCCCCCGCCTCCCGGAGTCCTCCTTGCTAGCTAGCGGAATGACACCGCTAGACAGTGTCCTTCGCTCCCGCCTGCCGAACACCTGCCCTCACTGTCGTTAACAAAACTGTGGGAAAACAGTGCCTGACAGGTGGGGGCTATGGACACTGTCTACCATTGTCGCTTCCGCTAGCATAACAGGTGGGAGGATGGGGGGGACACCATGTGCTAGCTGTCTTGCTAATTAGCGACACCGTTTGCTAGTTAGCTAGCACACAGTGTTGCCCCCGCCTGCTGTGTACAGGAGAAAACCGTGCTGCGGCGACACCGGGTGTTAGCTAACTAGCTAGCTTGCTAGTTAGGGACACCGTGGCTGGCATGCAACGCACAATAACTCCCACAGAAGAAGGGGCAGGGCCGACAACAGTAGGTAGCTAGCCGTACACCGGTAGACAGTGTCCTTCCTCCCTGCCTGTCGGGCAACGTTTTCCCGCAGTTCTGTCATTGACGCCGAGGGCAGGCGGGAGCGAAGGACACAATGTCGCCTCCTGCCTGTTGTGTACTGGGCTAGCTGGCTAAGCTAGCACAGTGTCCTTTGCTCCCACCTGCTGAACACCTGCCCTCGAGATGAAGGACACTGTCTACCGGTGTACGGCTAGCTACCTACTGTTGTCGGCAGTGTTGCCAACTCCTCAGTAAGGAAAGTAGCTATTGGCTGTCCTAAAAGTCGCTAGAAGTCGCAAAATTACGTCATCACCTAATTTGCATAATTGGCCATGTGCATGTAATTGTGATGGATGCTGTAGGAGAGAGGAATAACGTCCTGGGAGAGACAGAAAGTGAGTAAAAAACACCCTACATTTACATCAGCCAGCGGCGGCTTCCCGCATGCGCAATTCATTTACAGTCTGGATGCAGAGGGGTGAACATCTCCTGCTCTGACTGCAGCTGGGAGGGACTGCTGCGTGAGGACTGGGCCGCCTGTGAGTGCTTTGGGACGGGGGTGGGGCCCAAGGCAGCACCCACTGCTCGTTGAGAAGAGTAAGAACGATACGTGCGTTCACGTCAGAGTCTCCAATAACACCAGAAAAAGTCACTAAATTTGTCGCTAGTCACTTTTTTGAAAATGTGTTGCTAAGAGGGGTCTGAAAACACGCTAAATATAGCGACAAAGTCGCAAATTTGGCAACACTGGTTGTCGGCCCCACCCCTTCTTCTGTGGGGTTGATCGGTGGCTGGCATCCAACGTTATTGTGGGTTAACACCACCTACTAACCTGGAACACCCCCATCTCCCGCAGCTTAAAAATGGACCAATAGAAGTATAAAGAGGGGTTCCTGCAGATGCAGGAATGCCCACATGCAGGAACGCCCTGAATTGTAAGTTGCAATTTTCTCAGTAATTTGATGTACCAAATAAAAAATACACGTTAAATGGGTTTCCATCACATTTTCAACTCTACTGATGGTTTTCTCACAAACAATTTTGCGTTTATATAGCGAGTGTGCCCACTCTGGTATTGGTACATGCACTCTAGCAAACAGCTGGCGGAGATACAGTACCGTTATAGGCTATATGAGATTAATATGGACAAAAGAGCGAGATTATTTTTATTTGTCAAACTGCATTTGATCATGTCACCAGAATAAGACCCTCGATATTTATTCGAAAGAAGCATCAAGCTCATCACCTTGCACTTTCAACACCCAGTGAAGTTAATAACCTATTTAATCTGTAGCCTAATAAACTGCATGCTTTCCCAACAAGTCTTAGTGGGAGGACCACACGTCGATGATGGTTATTATACTGCATCATTATTTGTGCATAAAAGTGTTTCCAGCTACATTTCTCGCATAATTAATTCTACAGACACAAAAAGATCCCACCTTGACTAGTGTATTTTGTTTCATCGACATTTGGAATGTTTACATTTTAGTCATTTAGCAGACGCTCTTATCCAGAGCGACTTACAGGAGCAATTAGGGTTAAGTGCCTTGCTTAAGGGCACATCGACAGATTTTTCCCCTAGTCGGCTCGGGGATTAGAACCAGCGACCTTTCGGTTACTGGCACAACGCTCTTACCCACTAAGCTACCTACTTACAAGTGTTCTGATTCTATCAGGCTTGTTGTGACATTTTTTTATCCGATGTACTTTACTCACATAAAAAGGTTGGATGGAAATAAAGCTGGTTAGTAACCAGGTTTCAATCCAACCTTTTTCTGCGAATAAAGTACATGTCGGATAAAAAATGTCACAACAAGCCTGATGGAAACAGCAAATTTGTCTTTAAACTTTCCAAATGTTGACCTCGACAACCATATACGCTAGACAAGGTGGGATCTTTTTGTGTTTGTAAAATTTAATTATGGAAGAAATGTCGCTGGAAACGCTTTTTATGTGCATATATGGATATAATAACCAAGTAAACTTGGAGTCATGCGATGACATGTTGTGTAGTCCTCCAACTACGACTCGGGAAAGCATGCAGTTTATTAGGCTACAGATGACATAAATTATGATTAACTTCACAGGGTGTCCCTTTCCAATAAATATGAAGGGGCTTACTTTTATAATAGTATAAAAGTAATCCTTCTACCCCCCCCCCCTTAAAAAAAAAAAAGTCGTTGTCCCACTGGCTATCATAAGTTGAATGCACCAATTTGTATGTCGCTCTGGATAAGAGCGTCTGCTAAATGACGTAAATGTAAATGCTTATTCTGGTGGCATGATTGATGTTTGGCTAATATTCTCGCTCTTTTGTCCATAATAATAATAATAATAATAATAATAATAATAATAATAATATAATAATAATAATATGCCATTTAGCAGACGCTTTTATCCAAAGCGACTTACAGTCATGCGTGCATACATTTTTGTGTATGGGTGGTCCCGGGGATCGAACCCACTACCTTGGCGTTACAAGCGCCGTGCTCTACCAGTTGAGCTACAGAGGACCACAATCTCATGCAGGCTATACCCGCACTATCTGCGAGCTGTGTTGGCTAGAGCGCACATGCCAATACCAGAGTTGGAACATTTGCTATGTAACGCAATTTATTTTGTGACAAAACTATCAGTAGAGTTGAAAATGCGATGGAAACCCATTTTAATGTATATTTTTTATTCGGTACATGGGAATTTAACCACAAAAGTAATTTTTATGTGTACTACGTCATCACGCACATACTTTTATCCGCAACAAGTCAATTTGATGGAAACACATCTCTGGTGAGAACATTTGCATATTTTATTTATGTAGATTTTAGAATATTCGCATGAAAATCTGTCGCCAATTGGATGCAAAATTGGCTAGTGGGAGAAAATGAGTGTCACGATTAGGGGGAAACGCTTGAGTTGATTTAATATTTGGAAAAGGGGTTTGATTTTTATCTTAGACAGTTAATGCAACAAGGTGACACTTTTGGCCTGTGAGTTACGATGGTTAGCTATTTTATTAGTATTTAATTGAGTCCAATAAGCACAATGTCACCAAATGTGCCATAACGTTACACAATTTTGTGAATGACTGTCGCCTATCAAAGAGGGAGGGGATGTGGGGGGGTGATTGGCTGCGCAAAGAATGCCAAACCATCTCTCTATCATCACACCCCTCCCGATCTCTTGTAGCTAAGACCAGGTGAAAATACTAGTATCCGAATATGGGTCAAAGCATAACTTCCGGCATAAATACTATCTTTACGATGGACACCACAATGAAGAAAAAACCTCATCCTGGCTGTTCTCATCACTAATCCCCATCTCTCTCTCTCCATGATCTTGTGAAATCCTCAGCTTTTCTTCCTTTTGTGAACTGGACCAAGTTTTTGTCTCCCTTAACACCCTAGCTTGGCCGGCTGCAACCCCTGTATGTATGTATATATGTATATATGTATATATATATATCTATATATCTCTCTCTCTCTCTCTCTCTCTCTCTCTCTCTCTCTCTCTCTCTCTCTTCTTTTCTCCCATTTAAATCCTCCAGACTGAAAGAGCAGTCTTCTCTCGCAATTCATCTTTCTTTGGTGGCTGCCTGTCAGTTGTGCACTTCCCTAGGTTGAATGGAATGCACGTTTGTGGTGGAGGTTGACTGAGACCTAGGGCTTCTGTTAAACTGCTTAAGTTTTGTATAGTTAGGAAAACTTAATCTGATGATTTCTCTCTCGGATGATACTGAACACGAAACCAAAACACCAAGTTATGCTATTAAAACAGGCACTAAAACAATCAAATGCTCCTGCGTCATTAGTGAGTTGTAGTCAAATATTTGGAAGTGTCTGACTCCCGGGTTCATTAGACCTAGGCCAACTTCTACCACAACCGCAACATTTTGAAACAAAACTCAAGAGAGTCAGTTACAAGTAGGCTACATTTAAACCCAGCTCAAAGCAGTCAGCTGCCCAATCGAAACAGAGCTAGTCAGCCTGTGGCCTCAGTAAAGTAACTAAAGCATCGGTGTGTGTGTTCGCCTGTTCCGTGTGTGTTTTTGTTTCCTGGAGCGCGAGCCAGCTGTCAGACAGGCTGTGTGTGGCAGTCAGAGCAGAGCCGAGCAGTGTGAAACAGAGCAGAGCAGACCATGGGGACCTGGGGTTGGACAGAGGCCATTTGCTTGGTGTCTGGCTGGGGCAGAATCAACAGGAAGAGAGGAGGGGGGTGGGGAGCAGGGGGAGAGGGGTTGGAGTAGTGGAAGCGAATGGGAGTTTTGGGTGTGCTGAGCGAAGGATTAGTAGATGGGAGAAGAAAAGTGTGTTTGCTTGGGATGAGCGAGGCAAAGGAGTAACTGCTAGGAGGGAGGTGCTGGGCAAGAATTTCAGGTTTTAGGATTCCAAGGGGATTCTGAATTTCCAAGATGTGTTTTGTGTTGTTTGAGACATTTTCGAGTATGTTGGTGAAATAGCTTGAGGTGAGGTCATTTGTTTGGAATGGTGAGGTATGCAGACAATTACCCTGTTAGGGGTAGAATGTTGCATCTGTCCCTTTCTGGATGCAATTGGAGTCTTCCCTCTTAGCAAGAAACGACAGGATAGACAGAGGGCAAGAGAAAGAGCAACCGAAAGGATTGAAAGAGCGAGTGAGAGCAGAGAACGAGAAACAAGGTAGGAGAGAAAGATGAACAAGAGGGGGTAAAGAAAGAAGGGTTCTCACATTCACCCACTCCAGCACTGTAACACAAGGCCAGCCTCCTGCCTGTGACGATGCCTCCCCAGTGCCCACAGCAATCTGGCCCTGTGCTGCTTACACTCAAAACCAACCCTCAACAGCTGCTCACACTCACCCACAAAACCAACACTCAACAGCTGCTTACAAAACACCAGTGGGGCAGAGCTGAGCATACTACACCCCCCCCCCCCACACACATACAGTGGCTTGCGAAAGTATTCACCCCCCTTGGCATTTTTCCTATTTTGTTGCCGTACAACCTGGAATTAAAATTGATTTTTTGGGGGGGTTTGTATCATTTGATTTACACAACATGCCTACCACCTTGAAGATGCAAAATAATTTTTTGTGTGAAACAAACAAGACAAAAAAAACAGCACTTGAGCGTGCATAACTATTCACCCCCCCCCCCCCCCCCCCCCCTCCCCAAGTCAATACTTTGTAGAACCACCTTTTGCAGCAATTACAGCTGCAAGTCTCTTGGGGTATGTCTCTATAAGCTTGGCACATCTAGCCACTGGGATTTTTGCCCATTCTTCAATGCAAAATTGCTCCAGCGCCTTCAAGTTGGATGGGTTCCGCTGGTGTACAGCAATCTTTGTCATACCACAGATTCTCAATTGGATTGAGGTCTGGGCTTTGACTAGGCCATTCCAAGACATTTAAATGTTTCCCCTTAAACCACTCGAGTGTCGCTTTAGCAGTATGCTTAGGGTCATTGTCCTGCTGGAAGGTGAACCTCTGTCCCAGTCTCAAATATCTGGAAGACTGAAACAGGTTTCCCTCAAGAATTTCCCTGTATTTAGCGCCATCCATCATTCCTTCAATTCTGACCAGTTTCCCAGTCCCTGCTGATGAAAAACATGGTGTTCTCGAGGTGATGAGAGGTGTTGGGTTTGCGCCAGACATAGTGTTTTCCTTGATGGCCAAAAAGCTCAATTTTAGTCTCATCTGACCAGAGTACCTTCTTCCATATGTTTGGGGAGTCTCCCACATGCCTTTTGGCGAACACCAAACGTGTTTGCTTATTTTTTCTTTAAGCAATGGCTTTTTTCTGGCCACTCTTCAGTAAAGGCCAGCTCTGTGGAGTGTACGGCTTAAAGAGGTCCTATGGACAGTTACTCCAGTCTCCGCTGTGGAGCTTTGCAGCTCCTTCAGGGTTATCTTTGGTCTCTTTGTTGCCTCTGATTAATGCCCTCCTTGCCTGGTCCGTGAGTTTTGATGGGCGGCCCTCTCTTGGAAGGTTTGTTGTGGTGCCAGATTCTTTCCATTTTTTAAATAATGGATTTAATGGTGCTCAGTGGGATGTTCAAAGTTTCTGATATTTACATTTACATTTTAGTCATTTAGCAGACGCTCTTATCCAGAGCGACTTACAGTTAGTGAGTTCATCCATTTTCATACTGATATTTTTTATAACCCAACCCTGATCTGTACTTCACAACTTTGTCCCTGACCTGTTTGGAGAGCTCCTTGTTCTTCATGGTGCCGCTTGCTTGGTGGTGCCCCTTGCTTAGTGGTGTTGCAGACTCTGGGGCCTTTCAGAACAGGTGTATCTATACTGAGATCATGTGACAGATCATGTGACACTTAGATTGCGCACAGGTGGACTTTATTTAACTAATTATGTGACTTCTGAAGGTAATTGGTTGCACCAGATCTTATTTAGGGGCTTCATAGCAAAGGGGGTGAATACATATGCACACACCACTTTTCTGTTATTTATTTTGTATAATTTTTTGAAACAAGTAATTTTTTTCATTTCACTTCACCAATTTGGACTTTTGTGTATGTCCATTACATGAAATCCAAATAAAAATCCATTTAAATTACAGGTTGTAATGCAACAAAATAGGAAAAACTTTTGCAAGGCACTGTACACACAAAATTGTGCATGCATACACACACACACACACACACTAGCCAACCAAACCACACACACACACACAAAACATCACATGCACACAGGCGTAGAGGCAAATGAAGCTGAAAAAGCTTAGCTGTAAGTCTTTAGGACTCTGAGCAGTCAGTTAAGTATCTCCTCTACACAGTACTTGTTTCCAGCCCAGGTCCTAAGTACTGCGGTAATAACATGGAGGCTCTGACATACGAATATTACACAGCAGATTCTGTCTGTCTCACTAACATTGTATAAGGGGATGCAGAGAAAAACAATAGTCTGATGGATTTATAAGTCTTGAGACACAATGGTTGGTCTGTGAGAGTTCGTTCAGATATAGTTGTAGGGAGTTTGTGTGTATCTATCTCCATTGTGGTTTGGGTAAGGATGGTGAGTCATTGGGAAACAAACACAGCGGCGTCCTCATGTTGCTCTTTACGTCGGTCTCTGCCAATGGGATTACAGTATGTGTTTGTCTCTGTGTTTTCACTTAGCCTAATCTCTCTTTCTGTCTCTTGCGCTCTCTCTCTCCTCTTTCTCGCTCTCTCTCGTGCGCTCTCTCTGTTCTTTCTTTCTTTTAGGGTGGTGAAGGAAGAGATCTCAGATGAAAGTGCCAAGCTCCCCTGCTTCAACGGACGAGTTGTGTCATGGGTAAGGGCAAACTGGTAGAGGTAGACTGTACACCGCTATCTTGGACCAGTAAAAGACCAGTAGTAGAAGGGAGACAGAGGGGGGTAATTCCTGAATCGCTCCAAACTATTTTTCCAGGACTGAATTGTAAAAGTCAACTTCCCAAGTCAGAACAATACTTCTGAAATGGACCTAGCAGTTCAAATATATCATAAAGTGAGCTTTGAACCAGAGCCAGAAATGTAGACTACAGACTCTGGCAAACTCAGTCTGAGATTCAGAGTTGAAACCATCGCCATATTGGCATCAAGTTCCAACACCATTATATGATCTTCTAGGAATGCCAATTAGAATGTTATTGTCATGGAACGTTTGGTGCCAACATGGCGGGCATTTCTTTAACCACCTCTAGCTATGGCCCTACTTTAGCTACTAATAGAGCATTGACAAAAACCCACTATCATAAACACCTTGTTCTGTGAACGTAACATTGACAAAACCAAGGTATTTCCTACATCCTCAAATTTCCTCACTTATGATTATATTACCTACCCTAAAGAACATGCAGGATATGAGTCCTGCAGACAAAACATTGTGACTTGTCCCGGATAAGGGGGGTTGGGAGGAAAGCATCTGCTAAGTGCATAAGAAGGAGAAGAAATGAGGGAGAGGATTGGACAAAGAGAGGAGACCATAGGGACTGACACATGATAGGATGGAGGGATGATCCCAGAGGGACGAGTGCTCTATAGTCAAAGAGCCATTAGAAGAGAGGGAAGAAATAAAGCTTAAAGAAAAGAAAGGGGGAAAGTGTTATGTGGCACTGTGTCTCTGACACCTGGGAGGGGATATTCAATCAAAACTGCAAACTGGTTTTCAGGGGAAGGTTCAGGACAGAACTTTATCCATGAAACTAGAACACATTTGAATGGATGCTTTGTTCAGTCTTTCATAGAGAAACTAAAATGTATAGAAACCCAGAATCTCTGTTGAAAGATAGTTTGTTAGTGTTTCAGCCCCTCTCCAAGCAGACTGGTCTGTATAGGAGTATGTTTGGTCTGTGTAGGAGTATGTTAGGTCTGTATAGGAGTATGTTTGGTCTGTATAGGAGTATGTTTGGTCTGTATAGGAGTATGTTTGGTCTGTATAGGAGTATGTTTGGTCTGTATAGGAGTATGTTTGGTCTGTATAGGAGTATGTTTGGTCTGTATAGGAGTATGTTTGGTCTGTATAGGAGTATGTTAGGTCTGTATAGGAGTATGTTAGGTCTGTATAGGGGTATGTTAGGTCTGTATAGGGGTATGTTAGGTCTGTAGGGACGCCTTGCGCTAGGTCAGGGATGGGCAACTGGTGGCCCGTTGATGGACCTTTGATCAAAAAAACGAAGGTAACAATCTAAAGAATGTTAGCTGACATGGGCTAATTGACTGACTATCAGTGACTGACATAACAAAAATGTTAAATCATAATTCCTCCTGAAAAAAATAAAAAATCCTCCATCCTCACTATTATCCCCTTTCCCGCTCTGACCACCCCCTCCAAATCTCTGTCCCTCGTCTGTCCACCCCCTCCAAATCTCTGTCCCTCGTCTGTCCACCCCCTCCAAATCTCTGTCCCTCGTCTGTCCACCCCCTCCAAATCTCTGTCCCTCGTCTGTCCACCCCCTCCAATTCTCTGTCCCTCCTCTGTCCACCCCCTCCAATTCTCTGTCCCTCCCTCTCTCCTCCTCTCCTCAGTTGGTTTCATCAGACACGCCAGGAGCAGCAGAGCCAGTATCACCAGTCCTTCCTCCGCCCCCAGCAGAAGTCCGGCCCCCGCCCTCACCCCCTCCTCCTGTCCCACCCCCACCTGTTGAGAGGACCGGGGGCATCGGTGACTCCAGACCCCCGTCGTTCCAGTAGGCGCACACACCCTCTCCCACAGTCCCAATAATCAGTGTGCTACTCTAATGTATCTCTCACATTGTATCCAACATATTCTATAACAGAATACCTCAGTCACTCCAGCTATCACGTTACCTACTGTTAAATACAACGGTCCATTTGAACATGATCTTAGCCTGTGCCGCCCATTGACAGTAAGCACCTGGTCTGGGAACAGGTTCTAGTCATTGTCTGTCTAGATCATAATACACTGCAAACCTGTGTTCAGATAGTATTTAAAATCATTAGCTGCACTAGATTGAGTTTGCCTGGCGCAATAGGACCAATGGAATGGCCGCAGAAGTACAAAGCCGCCATCAAGCACTCAAGGCAGACTAAAGTAATAGCTCAAAGTTCTTGAAAATTAAAATTTCAAATACTATTTGAACCCAGTTGTGATATACAGTACCACTACTAGGCTTGATCCATTGCTTCCTATTCATACACATGGTATGGGAGCTGTCTGTCCTCATAGGTCGTAATACGATCTGGGTTGTAGCTTATATTATTAGAGGTTATGTGTGCGCTTCTATTTGTGTTTTATTAGGTAATGTATGTCACAGAGCCGACATACAATACCATCTCTCATTCACCCATAGAATTAAAATGAGGAGAACGGACGTTCTCATTCAAAGTCATTCTAATTCTATGTTTTCCCTACTTTAACCCTCTCCCTATGCAGTCCCAATGCAGCAGGCAGTGTGGAGAACCTGGACGACCAGACAGAGACGGAGTCTGTGGTGTCCTTCAGGAGAGAGAGACCCAGACACAGGGAGGCCATGGAGCAACATGGTGAGCACTCTGCACTGCACAGTCTACTGTCACATGATGGTTTCCACTAGATAGAACAGCCACAAAGTCAAAATGGCTATATGTTAAAAATTCACGAAAACAAAGTTGTTATTTTTGGTCCTAATTTAAGGTTAGGCATAAGGTTAGCAGTGTGGTTAAGGTTAGGTTTAAAATATCGTTTTAAAAAGAGACATTTTAGAAATAGGCAGGGTTTATGACTTTGTGGCTGTGGTAACTAGTGACGACCCCATGATGGAACAGCACTGGGTCATGTTCAGTAGGGCACTGTAATGGAAAATGTTGCTATGGAAAATGACAATTGAGCGTTTCTTATTGGGCAATGTCAGGCTTCCCATTTCAAAATGTTTTCTTCTGTTTTGTGTCTACTGAACAGTGGGAATAGCAATTGACATTGATAACATGAATAAACATGAAATCCATAGTAAACCTTCTATATCGTTATCTCTCTCTCTCTTCCTTTTCTCCCCCGCTCTCATATCTCTCCATCGCTGGTGCGTCAGGGCCGAGGATGAACGGCCAGAGCCGCATGGTGCGCCACCTAGCGGGCTATGAGAGCGCTACCACGGTGATGAGCAGCGAGCTGGACACCACCAGTTTCTGTGACTCTGAGGATGACGACACCATGAGCCGGTTCAGCAGCACCACGGAGCAGAGCACGGCGTCCAGGCTGCTGAAACGCCACCGCAGGCGCAAGAAACAGCGCCCGCCCAGGCTAGAAAGGGTAATGGATGCACTAGTCTTTTATTTCTTCTTCTCTTTTGTTGACTTATTAAAAGTTTGACTTAAACCATTGAAAGTCAGAAATGTCCCATTCTGCGTTGGAATGTATTGTATTTTGATTGTGTTTTTCCCTATTTCTTGTCCCAGGCGTCGTCGTTCAGCAGTGTGACGGACTCCACCATGTCTCTAAACATCATCACCGTCACGCTCAACATGGGTCAGTAACGTCACACTGTCTGTTCCCCAACACCACTCCCCTTCTCATGTCATCTTCCATCCATCTCTCTGACCCTCTCTTTGGCTGTCATGCTTTTCCACTCATTATTTCATACCTCTACCTAACCAGTACTCTGCGCGTCCATTTTGAAAAACCTCCAGTCGTTCTTGAAATGGCCTAGAAATCCTAGCCTGGTGAAACCTGCCTGATCTTGCAATAGCTCACATTCTGCGAAGTGAAACAAATGTTAAGCGCTCAGTCTGCTTGACCAGGCTATAGACATCCACCCCTCCAACACGTTTCTGACCTGTGACCTGAACTCCATGTCTCACCACCCCTTACTCCCGTCTCTCCTCCTGCCACGTCTCTGTTCTTCTGTCTTCACTTGCTGTCACCTTTTTCACCAACTCTTACCACCACCTCTCAATGACATTCTTTATCTCAGGGGACTTCCTTCCTAAAAGTTTAAGATTAAATCAACGATTTCCTCTTCCCTCCCACAGAGAAGTATAACTTCCTAGGCATCAGCATCGTGGGTCAGAGTAATGAGAGAGGGGACGGGGGCATCTATATCGGTTCCATCATGAAGGGAGGGGCGGTGGCCGCCGACGGACGCATCGAACCCGGGGACATGCTGCTTCAGGTGTGTGTGTGTGTGTGTGTGTGTGTGTGTGTGGCCGACCGGGGTGACTACAGGATGTCACTAGATAGCCATATATAACTGGTGATTGAATACAGGACGTATTTGTTCTTAAGTTATGATCGGACCGTTCATATCTACGGACTCTTTGTCTTTCTCCTCAAGGTGAACGACATCAACTTTGAGAACATGAGCAACGACGACGCGGTGCGTGTGCTGAGGGAGATCGTACATAAACCAGGGTGCGTGTCAGACCTAAGGACTACAGTACATTTACACCACCTTTGTCTATGCTCAATGGGGAATGATACCTGTCCGTCTGTATCTCCCTCAGGCCCATCGTCCTGACAGTGGCTAAGTGCTGGGACCCGTCACCTCAGGGCTACTTCACCCTTCCCCGCAGTGAGTAGCAGGCTGCATAGAGTTGTACAGCTACTCTATCTCTACGGTCTTTAGACACTGAGTGGACATAACATTAGGAACACCTTCCTAATATTGAGTTGCCCTCAGAACAGCCTCAATTTGTCGGGGCGTGGACTCTACAAGGTGTCGAACGCGTTCTGCAGGGATGCTGGTCCATGTTTACTCCAATGCTTCCCACAGTTGTGTCAAGTTGGCTGAATGTCTTTTGGGTGGTGGACCGTTCTTGATACACACGGGAAACTGTGGAGTGTGAAAAACCTAGCAGTGTTGCTGTTCTTGACACACTCAAACCAGTGCACCTGGCACCTACTACCATACCCTGTTCAAAGGCACTTAAATGTTTTGTTGCCCATTCACACTCTGAATGGCACACATACACAATCCATGTCTCAATTGTCTCAAGGCTTAAAAATCCTTCTTTAACCTGTCTCCTCCCCTTCATCTACACTGATTGAAGTGGATTCAACAAGTGACATCAATAAGGGATCATAGCTTTCACTTGGATTCACCTGGTCAGTCTGTAATGGAAATAGCAGGTGTTTCTAATGTTTTGTACACTCAGTGTATAGCGGGGCCATCAGTACTTTATCCTTTTTGTTTCCGATGAATAAATGAGATCTCTTGTCGCCCCCCTCGCTGTAGATGAGCCGATCCGGCCCATAGACCCAGCAGCATGGGTTAGCCACTCGGTAGCCCTAGCGGGGGCGTACCCCCCCTACACCGGCAGCTCTGCTCTCAGCACCATCACCACCACCTCTGTCACTGAGACAGAACGTGAGTACTGCACGTTCTCTTTCTTTCTTTTTTTCTATCTACTCTTTTTAGCCCCTCTCTCTCTCTCCATATTACCACTCTTTTCAACTCCTCCATTTACCTTCTCTCGCTCTCCACTTGACCCAAGTCTACTCTCTCTTACTTTCTCTTCCTCTTTGTTTCTCTCGTCTCTGCCCTCCTCCCTCTCTCTGCTATCTTTTATTTTATTGCGGTCTATCCATCCCTTTGTCGTGTGCCAGGCGTTTTATACCCGGCCTTGGCACAGGAAGCACCGGCCACATCTGTCTTTCTCTTCTAGTTTACAGTGTTTTATGTGGTCAATGATGGCTGTCTACCTCCCTCAGTTTCTCCCTCCTTTTCTATACCTCTCTCCTCAATCCTTCTCCCCTCGCTCTCCTTTTATTTATCTCCCTATCTTCTACCTTTTTCTTTATTTCTCTCTCCCCCTCTCTTTTTCTCCCTCCCTCCCTCATCTCTCTTACTCCTTCTCCGTCTCTCCAGGTTTCGATGACTTCAACCTGTCCCTCCACTCTGACATGGCGTCGGTGGCCAAGGCCATGGCCTCCCCAGAGTCTGGCCTGGAGGTCAGAGACAGGATGTGGCTCAAGATCACCATCCCTAACGCCTTCCTGGGTGAGTTAGAGCGTGTGTGTGTGGGGGGGTTAGAGGGCCATAGTCAGGCCTCTGTATCAAGATCAAAAAGGAAACATTAAAGGGATCAAACTGAGCAACTCTTTCCCCTCTCTCTCTCTCTCGTGTGTCCGTCTCCAGGTTCTGACGTGGTGGAGTGGCTGTACCACCACATCGAGGGCTTCCAGGACCGCCGCGAGGCCAGGAAGTACGCCAGCAACCTGCTGAAGGCCGGCTTCATCCGCCACACTGTCAACAAGATCACCTTCTCAGAACAGTGCTACTACATCTTCGGAGACTTCAGCGACTGTGAGAACTGTGAGTACCAGGGGGATACTTATGCTGGAGGAAAAACCGAAAATAAAAACAGTAGTCATTTTGATTGCTTTTTTGGTATTTTATTAGGATCCCCATTAGCTGTGCAAAAGCAGCAGCTACTCTTCCTGGGGTCCACACAAAACATGACATAATGCATAACATTAATAGACAAGAACAGCTCAAGGACAGAACTACGTACATTTTTAAAGGCACACGTAGCCTACATATCAATACATACACACAAACTATCTAGGTCAAATAGGGGAGAGGTGTTGTGCCGTGAGGTGTTGCTTTCTGTTTTTTGAAACCAGTTTTTATTTTTATTTGAGCAATATGAGATGGAACGGAGTTCCATGCAATAATGGCTCTATATAAATTAACTTATTTGTGGAAAGGTTAATGCCTATATCTTCTCAATATCTGGAAGAGCTTGTAGTAAATCAGAAGGAAGGGAAGCGCTGAGGGACACAATAGTAGATTCTGGTAGATAGAAGGAGCTCGTTGGTAAAAGGGGTAAATTGATCATCATATAATTAATTAAAATGTCTTTATTTGTATGGCATGTTCAATAGAAACAAAGTTTAAAAACTCTGACGCGTTTCGGCTGTATGGCCTTCGTCAGGGAGTACAAAGATATGGTAAGCTGTAAGAGCTTATTCAAACCCTTTGGCCAAATGAGTTCTTCAACCAGTTAAAGTTGAACTCTCTCTCCTCGGCCCCTCCCTCTTCACTTCTCCCCATCTCCAGACATGGCCAACCTGTCCCTGATTGACAACGACGGCTCCAGCGGGGCCTCCGACCAGGACACCCTGGCCCCCTTGCCCCTCCCGGGGGCCACACCCTGGCCCCTGCTACACTCCTTCCCCTCCTTCCAGTACCCCCACCCCCACCCCTACTCCAGCCAGCCCCCACCCTACCACGAGCTGTCCAGCTACAGCTTCGCTCCAGGCAGCACGGGCACTGCCAGTCAGCACAGCGAAGGTAAGACCAAGTGGGGAGGGAGGGAGGGAGGAAAGGAGGGAAAGAGGGTCAGGGAGGGTGTCACATTGGTGGCCAATTTCCAAATTGTCTGCATTATGGACACTGAAGAAATAACCGTATATGTATGAGAGCTGGCAGTTTTTAAGCGGTTTGAACCAGTTCTAACCACTGTGTTTATCCCCCTAGGGAGTCGGAGCAGTGGGTCGACGCGGAGCGAGGGGGGTGAGAGGCGACGAGGCAGTAAGGGGGGTCAAGGCAGTACGGCGGGGGGGGCAGGAGAAAAGTCCCCCTCTGGAGGAGGGGAAGGGGGTGACTCTCGCTCGGGCAGCGGCAGCGAATCGGAATACTCCGTCCGCAGCAGCCTGAGGCGGGGCCATGGCTCGGCCACGCCTAGCGAGCACAGCCACTCCTCCCAGCGCTCGCATCATCACCGCATGCCACCGCCCCCCCACATGTCGCCCTATCCCCCCGGGATGCCCATGCCCTACAACCCTATGATGGTGATGATGGTGCCCCAGCACCCACACCCACACATGGGACCCCCAAACATGGGACACCCCCACCAGTACACCCAGCAGCACCCCTCGGTCCCCATGGGCATGGGCCCCTCTGTCCCTGGGGGACCACCCGGGGCCCCCCCAACCCGTGACCTGGGCTCTGTGCCCCCCGAGCTGACTGCCTCGCGCCAGTCCTTCCACCTGGCCATGGGCAACCCCAGCGAGTTCTTTGTGGATGTCATGTAGTCTGATGACGTGTGTGTGAAGTGAGTGACCATTGATGTGAGGTCTAGGAGTAGTTCACTCTTTGGGGACTGAATATTCTAGTCTATGGTGGTAACTAACTTTTGGTCTGATTAGGCCATAGTAGATTGGTGTCGCTCATTTCTTGTCTGGTAAGAACAGGGTTCAACAGTGAGTCAGAGGAATTTGGCACAGTATCATAAAAGACATGAAATGCATCACGTCTGGTTTTCCTCTCCTGAATAGACTGGCATACTGTATCTTGACTTGCAACTGCACTGCTGGATTCTCCATGTCAGAAAAGTCACTCTCCTCTCGTTTGATTTAAAATGTCTGTGTATTGGTTTAGTTCTGCCTATCTCTCACTCTGTCTGTGAAGCTGTTCTGTGTTTTCTTACCAATTTTAGTTAATAGCATTGTGTTTGTTTTTCCTACCTGGGACTTACTGGCTGGCTGACTGGGTGTGAGGAACGGTAGTGGTCATTCATTGAAATGACTGAAGTAACAAACTAACTAGCCAAATGAGGAGCTGTTGCTAAGTGTACAGCGAGGACTCGAACAGTAGAGGGCGCTACTTGCTGTTTTCCATTGGGGAACCAGTTTTCTGAAAAGGAGGTGAAATTGATCATGTTTCCAGATTTACCTGTGTGTTGATAATGTCATTTTGGGCTGTATCACATGACTCACAAGTGCCTTATTTTCAGCCATTAGCCTCATAAAAGACATGTATGAAAAGTATTATGTCTTGCTCAACTTTTAACTATCATGGTAACATGATGGAACATCAAGCCCACTTTTTAAATGAAATTGTGTGCCAACTAGTTTCTATTGTATTTTATTTTCAGTGGCCTTGCCTTTGTATATATCTATAATAACTCCCATGTAAATGCCATAGTATAGACTAGTGAACTCATGTGAAACTATAGGGCAAACAATGACAGACACACTTCTGTCTGGCAATCAGAGGATGAACACTTAAAATGACAAGAATGGGAACCATGTATTGTAACCATGTCTAGGACTATGTGGTATAAGAAATGGTACTTGAGGATGAAGAAGGCACACCAAAAACGGTACTTTTGGGATTCATGAGTTCTCTCCAAATAACTGTGATTCCCCCCTCATCCTCTTGCCTCATATTTTGCATGTTACTGACACACGTAAGCATCCATTTTGTACGAAGGAATATATAGAATATGACAACGATGATGTATGACCGAACCATAAAGGTGCTAAATGAAGTCAATTTTTTCTAAGTATAGCAGTGTCACCTTGGTGCCCTTTTTGTTGGATTTCATTGTCACTTTTGTTTCTGTATTTGAGAATAAATGTGTAATAGACTGAAATTGAAAGACATTTGTTTTTTCTCTATAATATCTGGATTTTAGAGAAATATTAATGTCCACCAACTTTCCAGAACAGTAGATGGCGCTATGGCATGCATTTTCTTTGAATGTTTTTTCTTGACTCCTCCCACTTTGAAATAAGGAAACCAGACCTGCCTTTCTTCTGCTGCCGAAGTCAGGGGTGTATTCATTAGTCGGATTCCGTTGCAAAACGTTTTGCAACAGAAACCGTTAACTCCAAATGAAAAACGTGAGTTTCCTATTGGAAAACAGATTCAAGGAGGTCCATCCCTGTGCACGACCTGGGGGTTGGCATCACCCTGGGTGTCCATTGGCTTCAAGGGCATTCTGCTGTATGGCAACCCTGTCCAGAAAGAGAAGTACCTGCCCAAACTAGCCATAGGTAAGAACCAGCCAAAGAGCCTTCAGGTTGAAATGTGGCATTAAATAAACTGGGAGCATTCAACAGTGACTATCTATTTCTCTTTCAAGACAGCTGGAGCTACAATTTTTTACCAGAAAGAATGGTGTGAATGCTTAGTCATACTCATTCGACTACTGTGCTTCAGACTGGCTTAGTCTTTGTATCGCGCTGTGGATCAAATCGTTTTTTTGCCCACATGTGAGTGTGTGAGAGACGATAGCAGCGTTCTATCTGACTGCCGGACAGTGGTTCTGATGCTGCTTCTATCACAACCTTCAAGATCTGGACCAGCTAGGTGGGAGAACGCACACACACACACACTTGAGTATGTGAGGAAGCTTGCCTCACACACAAACACACCCCCTAGTCCAGATATGTATATCCACATGGGAGCCGTGTTGTTGTTCCCTATACGTTCACATAAATTTATCCTGTCCATTAATCCCGGGTTTAAATTTCCAATGTTACTGTCCTTCACAGCAATAGAGGCATGGCTGAGTACTAGTGCAACAATGAGTTGAGTCCAACCATTCACCCCTGACTTTGCACTAGTACTCACTAGTTTGACCATTCTGAGTTTCAACACATTGCACAAGTGTAGAGCAAAGAATATGGTTGTGACTTCACCCACCTTTTCTTTTAGGTCTTATGGTTTAAGATTGGAACCCACCCATGTGGGACTGGGCGGTTACCTTATTTTACTATATACTGGGATTGATGCAGGAACCGGTTTGGGGTTTTACTTTACATTCTATAACGGCATTTCAATGTTTGTTTTGTTAAACAACTCCGGAGCGTGTAATGTCCATATGGGTAATTACTACGTAGCCCACACTTTGCATGATGCCACGCGGGTTAAGTGATGAGAGTGGCTGCTCTCTAGGTGACTGAATTTTTTTTTATCATCCCTTCAGCAGAAATGCTTTCTCTTCAATTCCTCTCAGGAAAATGAAAGAGAAAATGATTAGGTCGACCTGCAAACCATTCAAACAAATGTAAATTGGAAGGTAAAGTCCAAGTAAAATGTTATTTTTATAAGAAAGCAACATCTTTATGATAGTAAAGGTATTCTAACCATTGAGTAATTACATGATACTACTCTCAACTTCTACTACTCTACTCTCATTCCAGAGTCACATCTGTGAATCTCCAGTTCTTATCTTTTCTGACTGGTTGATAGGGTAATGTACTACACTCAGCTTGCAGAAACAGGCCTACTATAGGAGCAAAAGAGGTTTCTGGTTCATAACCTTGGTTGTGGTGTCCTTAAAGGTCCAATGCAGCCGTTTTTAGCTCAATATCAAATCATTTCTGGGTAACAATTAAGTACCTTACTGTGATTGTTTTCAATTACAATGGTCAAAAATAAACAAACAGGTTCTTTGCAAAGAGCAACTTCTCAAGCAAGAACTTTGCTAGGACTGTGGGAGTGGTCTGAGTGAGGAGGGGGAAAACTGAAAACAGACTGTTATTGGCAGAGGTTTGGAACTCTTTCTTATTGGTCTATTAACTAAATGTACTGCCTGGCCTGCATACTATGTTCGGTTTGCTCCTAGAAGAACTCGGCTAGGCAAAGAGAACATCTGTGCCTCAAATACTCACTTAAAAAGACCTTTGCTTAAAAAGGGAGAACGCTTTGAGATGCCATAGCCAGTATACACTTCCTCAAAATAGTCAGAATTAATCTGATAACTCACGAAATTTGTAATACATTTAGGCGTTTTTGCCGAGGAGGTCTAGTTGTGCAATTTAACATTAACTAAGATGATTGGTGCAGTATTTCTCAAGTGGAAAACTGTGCATGAAAACGAGTCGTCGCTCGTTGAATGACAACAAACACTTAGTTAAAGAATCCCTACTGTTGACCAATCGCCGATGAAGAGGCGTAGACTTCGGCTACCGAACTTCGGCTTGCTTCAGGAAATGTTTTTGTGTGCACGAACAGCCGAAAAAAACCCTTGCCTAAGACCAAAACGAACAAAAACTTCACAAAATATCGTTATAATGTATGCACAAACTGTTCCGGATGGGAAGCATGAGGATGCCTTTAGGGGAAACTGCACCACTGTTCGCCCCACTGTCTTGGTTATTGTTTTTGTTGTAGAACTGAGGTGTGAGGAGCGTCTTAGAAAAAAAAAAAATGTGCAGTACATATTCTGCTGTTCTATCATGCGTGCAATGATGTCAGAGTAACTTCCTTGTTGTAATATCCCAAACGGACGTGGCAGTTTCACCTCCCTTACGAAAAAAGATTGCAGTTAGAGTCCAGTATAACTGCAGTATGCTGCAAATACTGCATCCAAAATACGTTTTTTCTTACTGCAGAAATGTTGCAGTGTAACTGCAGTTAGAGTGCAGTTAGAGTGCAGTATTTGCAACCAACTGGTTCTCCGAAAACAAGGTAATGCATAGAGATTCATCTGCCCGAATCCTGCTATGGCAAGAAGCAACACGTCTGGTGGCATGCATGCAGTCACACACACACAATTGCACGTACACTCATACTCACCCACCCACCCATACATACACACTAACCCACACACACACTGCCCTGCCCTGTTCCCATCAGCAGTATGTATATTCATCACTTCTCAGGTAGAACAGATTACCACCAGTACTCCGGACCTTATAGGGTAAGATTTGATTACCCTTGTGATGGAGACATCATCACAATCACTAGCCTGTGACCAATCAGATCAGAGGCAATTGCATTATTCTCTCAGTTTGGGAGACCACTGCTTGACAATTCTGGGAACCTTACCTTTGGAATGCCGCACGGGACAACAATTCATCTTTTTGAATTGAATTTATTTTGGGTAACAGACATATACAACAAAATGTACAATGTGGACCCAGAGGATATCATTTGAAAGTATTAATTAAAACGCTTGTTTCTGTCACGCTCTGGCTCCGGGACTGTGTATTTTGAGCCAGGGTGTGTTCATTTGGTTGTGTTGTATTTGGTTGTGTTTCATTGTTTGGTCGTGTGACTCCCAATCAGTGGTAACGAGTGTCAGCTGTCGGCTCGTTATCTCTGATTGGGAGCCATATTTAAACTGTCAGTGTTCACCTTAGTGTTGTGGGTTTTTGTTCTATGTTCAGTCGTTGTCACGGAGGACTTCATGATCGTCATTTGTTTTGTATTCTCGTGTATTACATTAAAATCAATATGTTCGCTACCAACGCTGCGCTTTGGTCCTCCTCTCTCGTAGACGATCGTGACAGTTTCCAAAGTGGTCCTCGATGGTAAAACCAATAACACATATAATGATTAAAAGGCAAGACAAAATGACAAACAACCATAAAATCAACAATATTAATTGCACATTAAACCAATCTATTCATTACACATCATACCTATCATTCAAATAAATACACCTGACCAGCAGTAGGGGGCACAAGGGGCAGTGGAGTGGTTTCTCTTACCTAGACAACCTTGTCCTAATGAGAACCTTTGCCTGCTTTTTAAAGCTATTTCTACTTTTTCTTTGCTTGATCTCCAAGGGGAGGCTATTCCATAGACAAATGCCTGTATAGAAAAATGTGCTCTTCGCAATACTGTTTACTCTTGGGATTTAACAAGACATAACACTAGCTCTGGTATTGTAACTGTGTTGGTTATAGACCATATCAATGTGGGTTTTTTCATTTAACCTGGGGCATGACCATTTAAGATGTCAAACATGTGATTAAGTTTAAGTTGGTTCACTCTGGACTCCAAAGGCAACAAGCCCACCTCCCGGAACTCCTGTACCCCTATGTGGGTCATACAGGGGACATTCAGCATATACCTGATAACATTATTTTGCATGACCTGCATTCTCTTTTTCAGCTTTTTTGATAGCCCACTATACCAAGCAGAGCAGGCATAATCAAAATGACACTGAATCAAGGTTGAGACAAGCAGTTTCTTAACTTTGATGTTAAAATATCTAGGGTTACGATATAAAGATTTAAATTTGTTTGCCATTTTAGAAATAAATTTATCAGCAATCAGGTCTCCAGTAAGGGATTGATCTAGGGACACACCAAGATAAGTTACACTTGTTTTAAATGCAATCTCCTTGCCTGCACAGTTTACCTTTATCTTGTCAGCCCTAAGCAATCTACGTTTTGTTCCAAACAAATTCGATGAAGTTTTTCCCAAATGTAGCGACAATTTGGTGTCAGTCAACCAATCTCTGACAAAATGCAATTCCTTACTAAGGGTCTATGTAAACTGTATCCTTCCCTGATACCAGTATGGCTGATTCATCAGCATAAAGCAGGAGTTTGCACTTTACTGTATCTGGCATATCATTCACATATATAAGAATTAAGAGAGGCCCTAAAATTGATCCCTGTGGTACTCCACAGGATATTTATTTGGCCTCTGACAGAACATCACCAACATTACATAGAGTGAGGGAAAAAAGTATTTGATCCCCTGCTGATTTTGTATGTTTGCCCACTGACAAAGACATGATCAGTCTATAATTTTAATGGTAGGTTTATTTGAACAGTGAGAGACAGAATAACAACAAAAAAATCCAGAAAAACGCATGTCAAAAATGTTATAAATTGATTTGCATTTTAATGAGGGAAATAAGTATTTGACCCCTCTGCAAAACATGACTTAGTACTTGGTGGCAAAACGTTTTTTGTAGTTGGCCACCAGGTTTGCACACATCTCGGGAGGGATTTTGTCCCACTCCTCTTTGCAGATCTTCTCCAAGTCATTAAGGTTTCGAGGCTGACGTTTGGCAACTCGAACCTTGAGCTCCCTCCACAGATTTTCTATGGGATTAAGGTCTGGAGACTGGCTAGGCCACTCCAGGACCTTAATGTGCTTCTTCTTGAGCCACTCCTTTGTTGCCTTGGCTGTGTGTTTTGGGTCATTGTCATGCTGGAATACCCATCCACGACCCATTTTCAATGCCCTGGCTGAGGGACGGAGGTTCTCACCCAAGATTTGACAGTACATGGCCCCGTCCATCGTCCCTTTGATGCGGTGAAGTTGTCCTGTCCCCTTAGAAGAAAAACACCCCCAAAGCATAATGTTTCCACCTCCATGTTTGATGGTGGGGATGGTGTTCTTGGGGTCATAGGCAGCATTCCTCCTCCTCCAAACACGGTGAGTTGAGTTGATGGCAAAGAGCTCGATTTTGGTCTCATCTGACCACAACACTTTCACCCAGTTCTCCTCTGAATCATTCAGATGTTCATTGGCAAACTTCAGACGGGCCTGTATATGTGCTTTCTTGAGCAGGGGGACCTTGCGGGCGCTGCAGGATTTCAGTCCTTCACTTTTCTTGGTGACTATGGTCCCAGCTGCCTTGAGATCATTGACAAGATCCTCCTGTGTAGTTCTGGGCTGATTCCTCACCGTTCTCATGATCATTGCAACTCCACGAGGTGAGATCTTGTATGGAGCCCCAGGCCGAGGGAGATTGACAGTTATTTTGTGTTTCTTCCATTTGCAAATAATCGCACCAACTGTTGTCACCTTCTCACCAAGCTGCTTTGCAATGGTCTTGTAGCCCATTCCAGCCTTGTTTAGGTCTATAATATTGTCCCTGACATCCTTGGAGAGCTCTTTGGTCTCGGCCATGGTGGAGAGTTTGGAATCTGATTGATTGATTGCTTCTGTGGACAGATGTTTTTTATACATGTAACAAACTGAGATTAGGAGCACTCCTTTTAAGAGTGTGCTCCTAATCTCTGCTCGTTACCTGTATAAAAGACACCTGGGAGCCAGAAATCTTTCTGATTGAGAGGGGGTCAAATACTTATTTCCCTCATTAAAATGCAAATCAATTTATTTACATTTTTGACATGCGTTTTTCTGTATATTTTTGTTGTTATTCTGTCTCTCACTGTTCAAATAAACCTACCATTAAAATTATAGACTGATCATGTCTTTGTCAGTGGGCAAACGTACAAAATCAGCAGGGGATCAAGTACTTTTTTCCCTCACTGTACTTGTTTTCTGTTGGTCAGATAAGACCTAAACCAATTCACTGCTACATCATTTAGACCCATGGATTTTAGTTTCATCAGGAGAATATCATGGTCCACAGTGTCAAAAGCTTTCTGCAAGTCTAACATGACCATACCTGTATAGATGGCATGACGCAACACGTCTGGTGGCATGCATACAGTCACACACACACTCATACTCACACACCCACCCACCCACCCATACATACACACTAATCCACCCACACACACTGCCCCGCCCTGTTCCCATCAGCAGTATGTATATTCATCACTTCTCAGGTAGAACAGATTACCACCAGTACTCCGGACCTTGTAGGGTAAGATTTGATTACCCTTTTGATGGAGACATCAATCACAATCACTAGCCTGTGACCAATTAGATCAGAGGCAATTGCATTGCTCTCTTAGTTGTGGAGACCACTGCTTGACAATTCTGGGAACCTTACCTTTGGAATGCCGCACCGGACAAACATGATTTTGAAACATTTGACATTTCTCTTGGTTCTACAATACTTTATTCATTTGGTCGCACCAGAGGTTGCAGCTAATAAAGGTAATGTGATTGTGTGGACTTTACATTACCTTGAAGTCATAATACTGTATGTGACACCAGTTGTTCAGTAATTTTCAGTAGGCAAGCCTTTTTAAATGAAAGTACATGTTGGATTCCCGAGCAAAATCTGCATCTATTATAACGTGTTAATTTGACATGGACTATGATTATTAGCCTATTCTTTTTGATGTAGCCTAATTATAAAGCATATGGATTATGCTTGTTGTGTGGCCTTGTTACTTTGCCCCTGTAAGTCAAATTGTTCCGAAATTGTAACTAGAGCCTACACCAAACAGATTTGTGGATCAGGCATAGCAAGGATGATATATATATTTATAGCATATATAGCAGTTGGTCATCACATTGCCATACAGAGTATTTTACACTGCTCGTCTCTTGTCACCTCTTCAGCTCTCCCTGAGCCGCTTAACCTGTCATTGACGTGGGCGACTGAATTCCTTATAAAGCTGTCGTGGAATGCACCAAAGGATTTAGACGCATCATGCAAGGTGAACTACATGATCACTACAAGGATCGGACAGGTTAGTGGAATGTTTCACTTGGGCCCATGAAGGGGACAATTATTTTAATGCAAATATTAATTTGGGATTTTATTTAAATGCAGACTGGTTTGTATGCATAGACTGAATGGGAACATATTCATGCATATAATAGAAAACAATCCATGCAAAATATGAATCACAGTTCAATTGCTATCAAAAGCCTAGTAAAATATTTATCCACCAATTTCAAAACCTTTCTTATAGCTACTTTATTAATCATTCATAATATCTTAAAGTATTAGAAACATAATCTGATATAAAGTGATAGTAACCTGTAGGCTATTATAATATACACCATATTAATTCAAGATATACCACTGAATGTGAAATGACAAAGATAAAACATTTCTTTGCAGAGGAGACCCCAAGCAGAGACAACTTTCAAATTGTATAAAGTGAAAAGACTCTCTATGGAAGATGCAGTGAATTACACAGTGCAAACAAACCCCAAACACTGTACCGGCAGAACCATAAGCAAACCTGTCAGCCAATCCATCACTAAACCCACAGGTAGGTAACAATCACTGGGGCAAATTCTAACTTTCAATTTTCACTTAGTCTCCTACTGAAATCAATGCATGACTAAATGAAAAGTTGACTTAAATGGAAGTTAGGATTTGTCCCTATATGAATTGGGACTGGTGAACTCCTCTGAACTTTATCCAATGTGTCTACTGTAATATAAACAATGTGCTGCAATTAATATTGTTTTACATGTTTGAAATTCCCTTGCATTTAATTCTAGTTTATGGTAGGCCTAATTAGTGCATATCCAATAAAATATTGAACAAAGGGTTCAGCAAATAGTTCAAAGCAAATCAATAAATACAATGGCCACAAAGATGTAGGCTATGCTCCCAGTAAAGCGTTACCAGAGAGGATGGAAAACCTTATTAGGACAACATTTACATCTCATTTTACATTTTAGTGACACCATCTCCATCTCTCTCTCTCTTTGTCGGATCCTATTTTTGTAGTCTAGACTCATGGCAATTTTCTCTCTCTCTCCCTCTCTCTCTCTCTCTCTCTCTCTCTCTCTCTCTCTCTCTCTCTCTTGCTCTCTCTCTCTAGAGTTGGTGAAGAACTTCCAGTGTTCCCTCTACTCCTCTAAGGCCATGAACTGCAGCTGGCTTCCAGCCAATCAGGCCTCAGACCTCCAGCTGTACTACGGGTGAGAACTATTCTACTTCCTGTCAAATCTCCTAATCCCTCCCTACCCAACAACTGAACTGGTAAAATAATTCCTGGAACACTGTGAATATTTGAGTCAGTTGAGCCGAGTCAGTTGAGCTGAGCAGTGACAGATTGTCATCCCTCTCATCCCTAATGTTTCAGGTCCCCTGGTGACTCCCACATAGCAGCATGCAGTGAGTACCAGTACAGAGCTGCTCAGAGGACAGGATGTCACCTGAGAGGAGCCTTCCTTGAATATGACGTCTACTTCCTGGTCAATGGGACTCTCAATGGCTCGTATGTACAGAATAACTTCCTGGTGCTTCCTAGATATCATGGTAAGAATAACCCCATACCACATTCTTTAACAGTTCAAAACAAATGTTTACGATATCCTCATAGTATGATCTGAAAAACATTCAAACAAATTTACATCTGGAGGTAAAGTCAGTCTAATTTTCTTTGAATACAAAAAAGCTATATCTTTATGAAAGTAGACCAACCAATGAGTAATTCAATGATACAACTATACAGTCAAGTATGCAATATCGTTGATATTACCAATACTCTCATTTATCTAATGTTATACTGTATGTCTGATTCTCTTCAGTCAAGCCCCCGGCCCCTAAGGTGAAGATCACAGAGGAAGGGAAGAATCTCATCCTGAGCTGGGACCCTCCGGACATAGGCGCTAGCCACTGCTGGAATTACATCTTAAACTACAACAAGTGTCAAGAGTCTCTGGTAAGCCCTGGATGTGTGGATATTTGTATTTACATTTATGTCTCCCTTTATTTATCTAGGAAAACTAGTTCAGAACTAATTCTTTTTTACATTGACAACCTGGCAAGTGCAGTTGTCTATTTTTATGCTTCCCAGAAGTGTGTTTTCAATAGTTTCATATTTAATTTAACCTTTAGTTATTTATGGGTTGCACCTACGTCACTCGGTCGTGCCATTGTTATACAGGTTAGTGTGACTGAGATAAAAATCTCTTTTGCAACAGGGAACCTTTCAAAACCTGTGTTTGTAATCATGATTATTATCCATAATCAGATAAACAGATAAAGAGGCCAACGTTTAGCTGGCTGCAGACAGAATATGGTTCAGATGATGGGTTGGGCGTTCTGCTATGGTCACCATGAGACAGGCCACTTCTGTGAATTACACCAAGAAAAATACAGCTTTAGTCACTGGAGAATGTTTACATTGCTTTGACGTACCTACTGAATGTGTTAGGATGAGGGGGTCCTTGGACATCTGCTGTTTGTGTGTGTGTCTGTGGGCATGTGTGGGCATGTGTGTTTCAGTCAAATAGTACACTATTTGAGTTCCACTCATGGTTCTGTGTATGTTTCTTCCAGAGTAAGGAAATACAATTCGAACATGTACCAGTGAAGGTTCCATATGACCGGAGATGCCAGTACAGAGTGCAGCTGAAAGCAGTCTATCAGAAATGGTGTGGGGACGGAGGCAGCGACTGGAGCGAAGAGGAAATCTACGGTACTTCCTCCTCTTTCTTTCTCTACATTCTCTCCCTCCTTCAGAACACAGAGAGTGATGTACTGTAATTGTGACCATTGAAATTGTTTAAACTTTCCCCTTATCAAACAAAATAGAAGACACATAGAATAAAGAGTTTAATATACCAGTAGTCTATAGTCTATATAATAGTATATGTCGTTGTAATAGAGTCCCTGTCCATCTTCCGAAAACATCTGAAACCCTACCTCTTCAAAGAGTATCTTAAATAATCCCACAGCGCCCCCCAAAAAATATATATATTTTTAATACTGACTCACTTGCCTTTTGTGAACTAACACTCACACTTGACTTCTTTCCCCTACTAGCACTGACTTTGCTGATTGCTACTTTACTGAGAAAAATAAATGTACTTACTGTGACTGAGATATGTGGTTGTCCCACCTAGCTATCGTAAGATGAATGCACTAACTGTAAGTCACTCTGGATAAAAGCGTCTGCTATATGACTAAAATGTAAATGTGTTTAGATTGATTGAGTGGAAAAGAGATATAGGAAATGTGATTTCACTCAAGTAATTGCCATTTTGGTGGTTAATTTGACTTCTTTTTATCTTTCTTTTTCAGACACAGAACAACGCTTTTCCCCAAGATTCCCCCAAGGACCATAACTGCACTGCTGAAGAGTGTCAGGAGTGGGAGCTCCGCATTCGATCATAGATCAGCACTCCTACTGAGACCATTCTTGTCTGCAACATTTTCTCTCTCTATACCTCTCTCTTTCCTTTCTTCTGTACTGCTCAAGCAGCTCTGGATTTCTGTACAGTTACGCTCTATGCTTCTCCACCCTGGCTTATGACACAGCCTGGCAAGAAGTTTATCTGCCAAGGTAACAAGAAGTTTAGATTAATCAGATTGTTCTACATTATTGCACAACCCCTAAAGGGGCAGTACACTCAAAAATGTTACATTTGGCAGATGTTTTCATACCTCTAAAGTAATCTTATGTCTCAAAAGTAGACTTAAAGGGGGGATAGTTCACCCAAATTACAAAAGTACATTGGATTCCTTACCCTGTAAGCAGTCAATGTACAATGCAAGACAGCAATCCATGCTTTGGTTTTGTTTAGCATTTATATCACAAAACCAGTGCAAGTGGATATCCCCGATTTTATAAGCATTTTCACATTCATGTCGAAATCATCCCAGTGTCAAAAATGGATTGTCTAGCTCAATAAAGTTAGTTTAAGATGATTTGGACATGAAATATGCTAATATCACAGATATTCACTTACATTGGTTTTCTGCTATAAATGTTAAAAAGATGGAGACAGTGACCAGGTAAGCAAAACCCAAGCATGGATTGCTGTCTTCTCTTGTTCATAGACTGCTTACAGGGTAAGGAAGCCAGCAGCATACCACCCTGCACCCTACTGCTGGCTTGCCTCTGAAGCTAAGCAGGGTTGGTCCTGGTCGGTCCCTGGAGACCAGATGCTGTTGGAAGTGGTGTTGGAGGAAGCACTCTTTCCTCTGGTCTAAAAAAATATATATCCCAATGCCCCAGGGCAGTGATTGGGGACATTGCCTTGTGTAGGGTGCTGTCTTTCAGATGGGATGTTAAACAGACTCTCTGTGGTCACTAAAGTTCCCATGGCACTTATCGTAAGACTAGGGGTGTTAACCCTGGTGTCCTGACTAAATTCTCAATCTGGCCACCTAATCATCCCCAGCTTCCAATTGGCTCATTCATCCCCCCTCCTCTCCCCTGTAATTATTCCCCAGGTCGTTGCTGTAAATGAGAATGTATTCTCAGTCAATTTACCTGGTAAAATAAGGGTTAAATTAAATTAACACAAATTACATATTAGTTTATTTAGCTATCCATTTAAGTCAACATTGTAATATTCATATGTGTCAGCATTCTGAATTGTAATTGGATGCATTATACTGTCATATCATACTGTGCTATGATTGGTTAAGACCACCCAGGTGGTGAGGTCATTCTAAAGATGATCATGGCCAGAGACACATGGACATGCCAGTTATAGCTAGTTAATAAAGAGCTACGTTTATAAATATCCTGTCGTCCTGCATTTTATTATTTTGTACAAAGCATACAAAACAAGACATGGTGTCAGAGTAAAAGGACTAAAATATGGATTTTGCTGGAGTTCCTTCACCTCGAATGGATTGGGGGTCTACAAATCTACCCGATGCATGGCGTAAGTTCAAACAGCATGTGGAGCTGATGTTCACGGGTCCTTTGAAGGAAAGAGGAGAAGAGGAAAAGTGCAGCTACCTGCTCCTCTGGATCGGTGAAAAAGGGAGAGACATTTACAACACATGGACACTTACCGAGGCTGAATCAAAGGTACTGAAAACATACTACGATCATTTTGAAGCATATGTTGTGCCAAAGACCAATACAATTTTCGCTAGGTACAAATTCCATGAGAAAGTACAAGGCGCTAGCGAATCGTTTGAACAGTTTGTCACTGAGCTGCGTCTGCTTGTGAAAGACTGTGATTATGCAAACAAGGATGAGATGGCCAGGGACCGTATTGTTTTTGGAATACACTCACCGCGAGTGAGAGAGAAACTTTTGAATGTTGGATCAGAGTTAACGATGGACAAAGCTATCGACATAGCCAGATCTCACGAGCTAGCACAGGTTCAGATGAAAACCATTTCAGGCGGCAGCACGAGCGCATCACGTGAACAAGCAGTGCACGCAGGCAGACATCAAAGCACACCTCCAGTGCCCAGAGAGCATGTTTCAGAACGGAGACAGACAGAACTCCAAAACAGAGCGACACAGACTCCAAATGCCCCAAAACATGTGGATATTGTGGATACAAAGTGTATGGCGAACAGGGGAATTGCCCAGCTAAAGGCAAACAGTGTACTAAATGTGGAAAATGGAATCACTTTGCAAAAGTGTGCAGAGTTTACCGTGGAAAAAACAGTACATACAGTGAGTGAAGATGAAATGTCAATCAAAGAGTCAAATGCTGATGAACTGTTTATTGATTCAGTGACACAGAAAAGTCAGATATCAGAGACAGAGCAAGCCTTTGCTGACATTGAGATAGGAAGACAAGGCACAGAGCTAAAATTCAAACTAGACACTGGTGCACAAGTAAACATTATTCCTCTGAGTAAGTACAGAACCTTGACATCTGAGTGTGAGCTACAGCCCACCACGCGCAGACTGACTGGTTATGGTGGTGAACAGCTCCCAGTAAAAGGCACATGCACTCTCAAATGCAAATACAAGGAAAGGGACATGATGTTGGACTTTTACGTTGTTGACACTCGAGCACCTGCAGTGCTAGGTCTTAAAGCATGTTTAGACATGGACCTTATCAAGCTAGTTTTATCAGTGACAGCACCAGTAGAGATAGAGAATGTCATGGAGGAGTTTGCTGATGTTTTTACAGGAATAGGACTATTCCCAGGAGAATGTACCATTCACCTTGACCCAGACGCAACCCCTGTGGTCTACCCACCGAGAAAGATTCCACTTGCTCTCCGCGCCCGTCTGAAGAAAGAGTTGGAGAGCATGGAGCAATCTGACATCGTCACCAAGGTTTCAGAACTGACGGATTGGGTCAACGCGTTAGTGGTGGTGGAGAAACCACGCACAGGCAAGCTCAGAGTATGTCTCGACCCAAGAGACTTGAACAAGGCTATCAAACGCCCCCATTACCCCTTACCGACGCTAGATGGCATCACACACAAGCTAGCGGGCGCACGCTACTTCAGTGTCATGGACGCCAGATCAGGCTACTGGGCTATCAAGCTCACAGAAGAGTCATCTCACAACGTTCAACACACCATTTGGACGCTACAGGTTCCGTCGCCTGCCTTTTGGGATTATCTCAGCCCAAGATGAGTTTCAGCGAAAGATCGACGAGGTGTACGAAGGCCTCGATGGAGTCATGGCAATTGTGGACGACATCCTTGTCTATGGTCGAACCAAAGAGGAACACGACAGAAACCTCAGCGCGATGCTGCAAAGGTCCCGCGAGAGAGGAGTCCGGCTCAACCCCGAGAATAGCACAGTCGGTGCTACAGAGGTCAGCTACTTCGGACATCTTCTCACAGCGAATGGAATCAAGCCAGATCCGCAGAAGATCTCAGCCATAAAGGAAATGGAGCCACCAAAGAACCGCGCAGAGCTGGAAACAGTGCTTGGCATGGTAAACTACTTAGCCAAGTTCGCACCCAGCCTCTCCAATGCTAATGCACCCCTGCGTCAGCTGCTAAAGCAGTCCAGTGAGTTCCTCTGGGACAACCAACACGACATCGCTTTCCAGAAAGTGAAAGACTTGATCACGAGAGAACCAGGACCAATCCTTGCCTACTACGACCCCAACAAAGAGCTCAGACTCCAGGTGGACGCGTCGAAGTATGGACTAGGGGCAGTGCTACTGCAAGAAGGAAAACCCATCGGCTACGCTTCCAAATCTCTCACAGACTGTGAAATCAACTACGCTCAAATCGAAAAGGAGCTGTATGCCATTCTGTTCGGATGTAAGCGTTTCCATCAGTATGTCTATGGACGACAAGTCATTGTGGAATCAGACCACAAGCCCCTCGAGTCAATCATGAGGAAACCGTTAGCCGCAGCCCCGCCAAGGCTACAGAGAATGATCCTTCAACTACAAAAATACGACTTCACAATCACTCACCGTCCAGGCAAAGACATCCCTGTCGCAGACACACTCTCCAGGAAGTTTCTTACCTACAAGGACAGCAGCCTCAGTGAAGGCATGGACATGCAGGTGCACACTGTGTACAGCAACTTACCAGTTAGTGACACAAAACTGAAGGAGATCCGAGCAGAAACCGAAAAAGACACACAACTCACACAGCTGAGGAAAGTCATACAGTCAGGATGGCCTGAGGAGAGGAGAAAATGCCCTCAGAGCGTCTCAGAGTTCTGGAACCATCGTGACGAACTGTCACAGATCAACGGAATCATTTTCAAAGGAGAGAAAATCATCATTCCTACCAGTCTCAGAGAAGAGATTTTGACAAAGATCCATGCTGGACACATGAGCATGGAAAAGTGCAAACAGAGAGCACGGGACATTTTGTTTTGGCCCGGAATGTGCAAACAAATAGAGGACATGGTTGGTAAATGCCCCACCTGTCTTGAACGACGCCCCTCGAACACCAAAGAGCCAATGTTACCTCACCGTATCCCAGACCGACCCTGGCAGGTCGTGGCAACCGATCTGTTCACGTGGAACAACGAGGACTACATTATAACAGTGGACTACTACAGCAGATACTTCGAACTCGACAAGCTTCACAGCACCACATCTGCAGCTGTGATACACAAGCTGAAAGCAGCCTTTGCCAGGCATGGCATTGTAGAGACTTTAATATCTGACAATGGGCCCTGTTACAAATCAAATGAGTTTGAATCCTTCACAAAAGCATGGGAGTTCACACACATCACCACAAGCCCACATTACCCTCAAAGTAATGGCCTTGCTGAAAAATCTGTGCAGATCGCTAAATCACTCATGGACAAAGCAAAAGCAGACAAGAGAGACCCCTACCTCAGTCTCCTTGAATACCGCAACACTCCAGTTGACAACTTCAAATCACCAGCCCAGCTGTTGATGAGCCGCAGACTTCGCTCAATCCTTCCCAGCACCAACCAGCAGCTGCAACCTGAGGTCGTCAGCTACAAGGAAATGCATGCA